TTAGAAATTATTTTTAATGATTTTGATCACTGGCTGGTTTTGAGACATGCCAAGGAGTAGTTCATTGCAGGACTAGCTCCCAGCTACAGGAGGCCCTTGATAGCATCTTTTAGTGGGCTTCTTCCTGCATCAGTGAGCCTGGAGAGGATCTCCATGCTTTTCACAGCATTTGACAACGATGCAATGTCAGTGAGACAGAGGGATGTTTATATAGTGTCTTGATCCCATCATCTCCAAATACTAGGACAGATTTTGTTTTTAAGAGCAATTTTAAAAAGATATCCAGGTGGGTCAGGTGTTGACATCTGTTCTTTCACTAAAAGGATTCCAAAATTTTCAGCTAGAGCTTACTGAAGCTAGTAGTTGTGCATTCCTGGATGAAGTGTGAATTAATTAAAAAGAAAGTCTAAGGCATGACCTTCCCTCATAACTGAACTGGATCAAAGAGCAAAATGAACAGAGTCTTAAAACTAGGCAACTCTTTTTCAATAGTAAGCAACTTTTAGAGAAATCCAGTGGAATGGGTAGTGAGATGAGAATGGCTGCAGTTAGTGGGCAACTAAGAGAGAACAAGGTTCACCCACACACTACCTCTTCCCTGGCTACCATTTCGAATCAAGAGGAGAAATTAATGCCTTATTCTTCACATAAGAAAGCTACGGATTTATGGGAAACAGCTTCTGCAAAGTTAATCTTGCCAAAAAATGCTCCACTTTTCTGACTTGGGCTGTATCCAGCAATTCACTGTTTAATAAGAAACAATATTGGACTTGCCAGCTCAGAGAAATGAAACTACCATTGGAATTGATGATTTTTATAACAGCAAAAGAAAACAAAAATCATTGTGGTACCTTAAAGTCTTGCTTTTAGTTCACATCTAATTATCCATCATGCTGATCAACATTTCAGATTTGTATTTTAATCTAGGCTCTAGGCAAATACACTAGTATTTGATGTGATGGACTGCAATTCCCAGTATTCCCAAACAGCAGGGGATTATGGTACTTGTAGTCCTTTGCATTTGGAAAGCAATGGGCTGGAAAACTGCCTTAATTTATCTTGTCTCCATGAGCCAAGAATGGATGCTGACTTCTGCACTAAACAAAATTGAACCTAGACTACCAAAATTGGGGCTTATTTTGATGTGTAAAAACTTCCTTAAAAGGAATTGACCTTCTCTGGATTTTGTTCCACATGTTATTGTCAAGGAAATTTGGTTTCATTCACTATGTATTCATCCCTGACAATAGTCACATTTAATTTGCCCATTCCTTCCCATCTCCCAGGCATGTTTTAAATTACAAAGAATGTACTTATCTTTAGTGATGTGTACATAAATACATTCATATATAAATAAATGAATATATATATATTTGTTGTTTACTGGATTTTCCCACTGTTTATGGTACTGGAGGTCTTGAATCATTGTGCCTTGATTGTAAATAAGCTTGAGTGTCTATTTTATGAATAAAAATATTATGATTTGTAACTTGGGGTTTTTATTTTCTTTCTGCTTTTTAAAGTACACTGACTTAAATTCCCCAGATTTCAGCTTTGGATATTTGTCACTATCAAACAATATCAAGGATGAAGTCCGCTGGAAAATGGATCAACAATCTGTTGGATTCATTTTGACATCTGATAGTGCTATACAGAAATCCACATTTTGAAGGGCAAAATATGATTGATAGAGCACATGGATATATGCATGTAGCTTCATAGGGAATCCTTTGAAGCAGCAGTGTGATATCAGGAAAAGGTGTGCTTGGTTGGCTACATGATCTGATCCCTACTATTCCCTCATGACAATACCACAATTATACTGGAGGCAGGGCTGGTCCTCTTCCTCCTGCCTCCCATGCCAGTATAATAAGTGCTGTATTTGTATCAGTACTTAATAATTATCAGTAACTTTCTGATAAATTAAATGGATTCTAAAGCTACTGGAGAAGTTTGTGTTTCTTATCGGTTTAATTGGGAAGGCTTTGTATCTTGTGCACAAATATGGTCTCTGTCTACAACCTACTATTTGATAAGATAGAAAAATGTGGGTTACCATCACAACCACCATCACCACCAGGTGGATTCATAGCCGGATGACAGGCCGTACTCGGCATGTGGTCCTCAATGGAACTGCATCTACATGGAGGAAAGTGTGTAGTGGGGTGCCCCAGGGTTCTGTTCTGGGCTCAGTGCTCTTCAATATCTTCATCAATGATTTGGATGATGAGATAGATGGGGAACTCATCAGATTTGCAGATGACACCAAGCTGGCAGGAATAGCCAAAACTCCAGAAGATAGGCTTAAGATACAGAAGGATCTTGACAGACTTGAACATTGGGCACTATCTAACAAAATGAAATGCAATGATGAAAAAAGTAAGGTTCTACATTTAGGCAAGAAAAACCAAATGCATAGGTATAGTATAGGTGGTACCTTGCTCAGTAGTAACTGTGAGAGGGATCTCAGAGTCCTAGTAGACAATCACTTAAATATGAGCCAGTAGTGTGCTGCAGCTGCCAAACAAAGCCAACACAGTGCTAGGATGCATTAACAGACTGTTAGAATCAAGATCACATGAAGTTTTAATACCACTTTACAATGCTTTGATAAGGCCATACTTGGAATACTGCATCCAGTTTTGGTCACCACGATGTAAAAAAGATGTTGAGACTCTAGAAAGAGTATAGAGAAGCGCAACAAAGATGATTCTGGGACTGGAGGCTAAAACATAAGGAGCAATTGCTGGAATTGAGTATGTCTAGTTTAATGAAGAGAAGGACAAGGGGGGACATGATAGCAGTGTTCCAATATCTTGGGGGTTGCCACAAAGAAGAGGGAGTCAAGCTGTTCTCCAAAGCACCTGAAGGCAGTACAAGAAGCAACAGATGGAAACTAATCAAAGAGAGAAGCAACCTAGAACTAAGGAGAAATTTCCTGACAGTTAGAACAATTAATCAGTGGAATAACCTGCCTCCAAAGTTGTGAATGCTCCAACACTGGAAGTTTTTAAGAAGAGACTGGACAGCTATTTGTCTAAAATGGTTTAGGGTTTCATGCCTGAGCAGGGGGTTGGACTAGAAGACCTCCCAGGTCCCTTCCAACTTCATTATTATTATTATTATTATTATTATTATTATTATTATTATTATTATTATTATTATTATTATTACTACTACTACTACTACTACTACTACTACTACTACTACTACTACTTGGGATTCCAATCCTACAGAATACAGTGTCTGTCTATTCCTGAGTTGAATGATGTTAATAGGAAGTGATTGCTTTATTTAGAGTGGGTTATATAATTCAATAGTTAAATAAGTCAACACAACTCAACACTATTAACCTTACATTTGATAGAAATATCTGAATTCTCCCAACTACACCAATAGAATCATATTGTACCATAAGAAGGCATACTTCCAAAATAAGGATGGAGAACAGAGTTGCCACTGTATCATTTTGATGTTGAGCCCAGAGACATTTGGTACAACTGGAAAACTAAACAAAGGAAACTGTAATGGGTTATTATATTTGGGCCATAAAGGGGGAAAAGTATAAAAGGGTGTGTATGCACACACACAATCATCCTGCTTCAGCACAATTAGAAAAATGGGATCTATTTCCTGCTTATTCAGTTTGCTATTCAGGTATTTGTTGTCAATGAATAATAATGTTTTTTAAAAATAGGGAGGGATATAGGAGTAGCTCTGTAGTATACTGCAGGTAGTTCGCAACATATGACAACTGAGCTCAAAATTTGTGTTGCTGAGCGACATAGTTGTTAAGTAAGTTTTGCCCTCATTTTACGACCTTTGTTGCCACAGTTGTTAAGTGAATCACAGCAATTGTTGTTAGTAACAAAGTTGTAAAGTGAATCTAGCTTCCCCACTGACTTTTTCAGGTCACAAAAGGTGATCACATGACCCTGGGACACTGCAATTATCATATGAGCCAGTTGCTAAGCATCCAAATTTTGATCATGTGACCATGGGGATGCTGCAATGTTCGTAACTGTGAAAAATGGTCATAAGTCACTTTTTTCAGTGCCGTTGTAACTTGCAAGGGGTCACCAAATGACTGTAAGTTGAGGACTATCTGTAAGTTGAGGACTATATGGTCAGTGATGGGATTCAAATATATGAACAACCGGTTCTCTGTGTAGATGCCACTTCCGGAAGTCCATTCTGGGCCTGGGCAAAAAAAAATTAGCTACTGGTTCTGCCGAACTGGTGCAAATTGGCTGAATCCCACCACTGTATATGGTCTACATATAATCTTAAAACAGAATGTAGAAAGAGGTTCCAGGCATTTAAAATTGACAATTTAAACTTGATAGTTTCAGAGGGCATCTAGGAAAAAATAAACTAAATTGATTTGCCAATTTTGAGAATACAACATCCGATTGTACAGCATCTTCCTTTCTTCTGGTTGTTTTTTTTTCTTTACCATCTTTTTTGAGGAAAAACTCTAAATCCTTCAAAACTTGCTTTTTGATTTTGTGATGTTCAGTGAAAATATTAGTAACGATTCTGGGCTGGGCTGTTAAAAGAGGTCTCTACTTTTTAAAATGCAACGTTTCTGTGTGTTCCATAATAGGAAGAGTTTTGTAACAACTTAAATTAAGAATTGGATTTATAGAATATATTTCAAACAAACGCCTGTGGTGTTTAAAGAGTTCCGTTTTCAAAGGCAAGCCAAACCAAGGCTGAGATGCTCTTTAAAGTTATTATATTGCCAAGCTGCAGGCAGTGAAAAGTTAAATGGGCGCATCCCAAAAGCCATGAGACACTTGCATCCCACCCCTCCCCTTGCCACGTGGTGATATTCTCTCCCCATTGGCTGAAAATGTCTTGTTTTTCTGCAGCGATTGGACTGCAGCTGTCGGAATGCGAAGTCTTTGCAGGTGGTTGGCCGACAGCTGGCGAGGGGCGGATCGTCCGGGGTCTAGGTCTACCAGCTCTTTTGGCAGTCGGTGGGCTGGCTTCTCCGAGAGGCTAGGCAAGAGCCGAGGTGCTTGTTGGCTTCCGGGTGCTGGGAAAGGGGTTACCGCCGCTAGCTTTCTCCCCCGAAGGTGGCCTGTCAGGCCCTGGCGGGGCCGCGATGCGTCTTTTGCGATGCCTGATGAAGGGCCAGTCGGCGCTGGCCGGGGCGCCCAAGTATATCGAGCACTTCAGCAAATTCTCTCCGTCGCCGCTCTCCATGAAGCAATTCCTCGACTTCGGTGCGTGGGAGCCAGAGAGGGAGAGGGGGACGCAGCCGGTTTCTTGAATCTGTCACCTTCGAATGGGTTGGGCTACAAGTCCCATTCTCCCCACCTAGAGTACCCTGGGGCCCTGCCGTTGCACAGCGATGTTGGGGGGGTGGGGTGGAGTACAACCACCCCCCCTCCGCTTCTCTCTTTCTCATGCACACCAACAGCCTGTTTCAGACTGGGCTTTTTAAGAGGGCCAAGTCGGGGGAAGGTTGGCTGAAGCCATCAGGCTTCTCTTACCAGCAAGACCCCAAATTCCCGGCACATCTTTTTGCTTTTAGGGGTGATGGGGTGATTGCCCTGAAATTGCTTCCTTCCTTCTGGAAGAATTTTTTTCTCGTTGTATTAGCTCATCTGCTTTTTATCTTACAGGTAATTGACTTCTGGGGAGTTTTAGAATTAAAGTGACTTTCAAACAAAGTCACTTGTCCTTGCAATCCTGTACATTTTAGCTGTATGCCAAATCCTACTGAGTTCACTGATGTTATAAGCAAACTAGTGCAGGGATGTAGCTGTGTTGTGTTTTTTTATTACTGCTGGTGGTTGCTTGTATACCAGAAGTTAAAATGGGACAATTGAGCTTCAAATGAATTAATCAAATTTTCACCAGAATTAACTCTGGGCAGTGTACAAGGAAATCATAAAGGAGGAACCAGTGGCCTCTTTTATTAGTTCATGTAGATTGAACATCCAATTCCAATTTTCTGATCAAGATCAAAGTATTATTCATCAAGATTGACCTGAAAAGATCCCTGTGACCTTAAAAATTATGTGCATATATCATACTGTTCGTATTTCCCCACAGATAGTCTCACTGAATAGAGTAGGATGACTGCCAAATATATATGAACGTAAAAATGTGCTTGTGTTGTTGCATTAAATTTAACAGTGTAGACATGAAATCCATGTAATGTTACCCTTTGTCGATGAGATTTTTATACAGATTGTGTAGTTCTGTGGAGAAACAGCAATAGAAATAAGAGATACTGAATAATAATGAAATGAAAGAAGTTTGTTAATGTGTGCAGGGTTTGATGTGAAGCTTAAATGCTCATAAGCTATTTAGAGTGACAACTTCCCCTGTTCAATTCGTTTCTGGATCCTTATGTTTCTTCTGCTGTGTGCTGAGGGTTACTAAGTGTATAGTATGATGACCTTAAATCACCTCTTTCTCTGGGTGAATATGCCAAATGGTTTCTCAATTTGACTTCCCAAACATGGCATATCTATCTATGCCATGTCTTCTTCAGCTCCGTTTCTTTCTTTCCTTATCTGTTGGGGGGAAAATGCCTAATGAGCATTTTTTTGGATCACATACAAAGATTACAAACAGAGGGCCCCAGGTTTGCTTCTGGGCATCTCCAGTTAAAATGATGAAAAAATAGATAACGTAGAAAAAAAGAGAACCTGGGACTTCTGTTAACTTCCAGGACAGGAAATGGTTAGGGAGAGTCATAAATTAACAGCCTCCAGAGAACTGCAGGCTCCTCAACCCTGGAGTCCATAGGTATGGTTCTGAAATTTGTAGAAGACTATTTGCAGTATTTAAATTAGTAGGTCCCGTTGCATAATCTTGAGGAATGTAGTAGGAATTTCTATGTAGTAAGCTTATGTGGTTTAAGGAATTGTTGCCTTAACTTCATGCTCCTGAACAGTTGATTATAGACTCAATGATTCTGTCAATATAAACCTGCCTCTATTGCTATAAATACTTAATACCAGGAATTCACTAGACTTTGAAATAAAACCATACATAAGGAATGGGAATGTATGGTTACAGCTCTCAGTAACCCCACTCTTAACCGATTAATCAGAGCAACTGGGAATTTGTTCAGGTATATATCCCATTCTCGCCCTGGGAGCTTCATGTTACATTCATATTTTATACCACTCTTATCCTCCTATTTTTCCCCACAACAAACCTGGAAGATAGGTTAGGCTGAGAGATAACAACTGGCTGAAAGTCTCCTAGTGACCTCCGTGCCTGAGGGTAGAGTGTAACATTTGTGCCATAATCATTGTACTGTCTAGATAACTCTCTAGATGTGTGAAATTTAGCTTTTAATATTTCCAGCCAGTGTGACCCTTGCTAAGAATATTTCTCAACATTTTCCAAATGTGTCACTATGTATGCTGTCGCTATTCAGAAAGTCTTAAACACCTCAGTTACATTTACCAAAATACTGCAATTGTTCATATCATATTTTTACCTAAATTACATTAAATTGAATTTACTTAAATTAAGATCCTCCAGTTTTTGAGTGGCAAAAAGCAAGGATTTTAAGCTGAAGGAATGAAAGCATAGAAGATTTAACTTATGAAGGGGAGAAGCAAAGGAAAATTCTGCTCAATAAAATTGCGTCTCAGCTGCCAATTTGGGGGAGGGAGTTTTGCAGTGTCCTTTGAAGGAGCTGAAGGACAACACGTGCTGATTGGAGGGTCTCAGTGCCAGAAAGATTAAGGCCCTCCTCTAATACTCCACCCCCAAGCTATATTCTCTTTGATTTTCCTGCACTGCTTTATCTGAACTGTGGTGAATGTGTTTGATACTCTTCCATGCAGTGTTGCTAAATAAAGAACTTACGGAATCTGATTGGTAAAATTATGCAACAGGACATGGAGTGGGTGAACTCTCACCCTTTATTCCATTACCTATCTTATCATTTTTTTCTAGTTGTCAGTTACATGTCATATGTAGCTTTTAAAGGGATCAGATCTCTATAGACTTTATTAGAGAGGTCAGATAGAAACATAGTAGGGAGAACTTAGCAGTTGCCTCACATTTGTTTCATTTGCCTGTGCAATTCTAAACCTCTCTGTGTTTTGTTGCTGATCATGTCTTCCTGTGCCTAGCTGTCATTCTCCGCTGATATTTATCATATGTATACATTTCTGTGCTGGCTCAACAGTGAATAGTCTCTTCAAAACAAAATGAGTTGCCAGATTTAGGGGGGGGAATTGGGACACTGGTGTTATATATGTTGACAACAGCAAGATTACTTTATGCACAAAAATGGAACGATACTTTGATTTCTACAATGGATGAATGGCTGCAAAAGTTGATGGAGTTAGCAGAGATGGCCAAATTGACTGCTTTGATTAAAGCAAATAACCCAATTAACTTTGTTTGGGCTTGGAAACAGCTTTTGGACTTTGTGCTTGAAATGGAAAAAAATTAAACTTTGAGTTTCAGTTTTGTAGATTAGATAGGTTTGTTGTTATAAAAATTGCTAGTTTGCATTATATAAAAGTAAAAAGTTGAGGTTTGATGCTATTATCTTATTCTACTGTAACAAAAGGAATCAGAAGTCAATACTTTTTCTTTCTTTTTTCCCTTTGCCCTAAACTTTTCCCTTCTCCCTTATTTTCCTATTATTTACCTTTATATTTTTATATTTTATATTAATAAAATTTTGAATATTCAAGAAAACAAGATGAGTTGCTTACCTGCTAGTTAAAAAATAATAATTATGCAATACCGTGCCTTGTTTGTATAATCCAGCCTTGCCCAAGCTTTTAGAAATGTTGGATCTAAACCCCATCTTTCCCTCAACCAATATGGCCTTGCTGCCTGGTGATGATAGGAGCTCTGATGCAATAATTAAAGAGAATAGTAGGTTGGCAAAGACTGGTTTGTACAAAGAAGGCACAGCACTCCCAGCAATTCAGGTCTTCTTGAAAATAATCTTGGTTTTTTTACTTTCTGTGGGATTAAAGTGGATTATTTCTCTGTCAGTGCTTCTGATTTTCTAAAAGCTTAAGACCTTTGTAAAATAAACTGGTTGGGTTTGTTTAGCTTGTAAATTTATCTTATATTTCATGTTTGAGTCCTTACAGGGGGTAAAAGAGTGATCAGGTTTGCAAGTGATTAGGTTTTGAATCTGCGTGCCTCCTTCTCCCTGCTCAGAGTAGTTTTCTTCTTGGACAGTCTCCTCCAGAAGTGCTGGACTATGAGCTCCATCATCTTAAGGCAATTGGAGATAAATAGAACAACCTTTTGGAAAAATGCCAGCTGGCAGGGAGATACTCTATACCCTTACAAAAAGCTTGCTTGCATTGAAATAGGAGATTAACCATGTTGTTTTTTCTGGTATTTGGATTAGAAGACTTAAAAACGTAAAAATCTCAGACCTGAATAGACTGTGATCTGATTTCACACATTTGTTTGAATAAATAAAAGGCAGAAAGGAAAACTGTCTACATTATTGTTTAAAATTGTCTAAAAGCTGTTTCATAATTAAAATACTGCATTGAGAAGTTACCGTGATCATTATTCTAAATGGAATAGTTATTTTAAAATGAAGATAATATGTACTTCTCTTACATTGTCTGCATACTACAAAAGTGAAAAAGTATGCTCTCAGAATCAGAATAGAGCTGGAAGGGACCTCTGAGGTCTTCTAGTCCAACCTCCCAATCAAGCAGGAGATCCTATATCATTTCAGACAAGTGACTGTCCGGTCTCTTCTTAACCTCCAGTGATGAAGCACTCACAACTGCTGAAGGCAAACTGTTCCACTGGTCAATTATCCTAACTATTAGGACGTTTCTCCTTAATTCCAGGTTGCTTCTCTCCTTAATTAGTTTCCATCCATTGTTTCTTGTTTTGCCTTTTGGTGCTTTGGAAAATAAATTGACCACCTCCTTCTTGTGGCAGCCTCTCAAACCTCTTCTCTTACACACTTGGAAATCTTGAATTATAACTGTAAAATTATATAGCGTAAATGTGGCCTTTTCCCATTAGTATTAACTATGAAACTATGGGTAAAGGAATAACATTGAGAAAACATCTCATGGAAATTCCATCCTTGGAGATGACATGAGTCAGATACTAAAAATCTCAGCAATTAAGTGTTGATGAAGCATGGAAAATATATGGACTTTGTAGCAGCCATAAAAGGGAAGTGCTTTAGATATAAAATTTCCATTCCTGAAAGCCAGCGTAAGAACTAATGTGCTGTAATGATTGATGTGTTGAGGAGAAACAAGATTTGGTCCACTCTGTGCTGCAAAATCTCACTGTAGGACTTTGGATAAATTAATAGGCCCAAGCTACTCACACTGTTACTATGAAGATAAAATAAAGGGCAATCCTCATATAAGCCTTGAATTTTTGGAGAAAAGTTATAATCTAATAAATAAAAATAATATTTGAATCTCAGTGTAGTCCCCCTTATTTTTTTAAAACTATCATGTCTTCCTGTTAAAGTTATTCTCTACAATCATGTGTTCTCACAGTTTGTTCATAAATATCTGATGCGTGAAGAGAATGTGAAAAGATATTTCGTTCTCCTAGCATGTTCAGTATTTGCAATAAATTGTAGTTATTTGGACCCATCAGTTATTACAGGAACTAAATCTCAGAAGGCTATCATTTGAATCATTATCGTCCTATTACACTCTTTACATGGGAAATTATAGTAGTACATAATAATTTTGGAATCTCGAAAAAAGAACATATTACTTGAATAATGCAGATTTATTAATGGCTCTGTGTGTCTTTTTGTTTTTCTTTCACTTAGGATCCAGCAATGCCTGTGAGAAGACCTCCTTCATATTCCTTCGCCAAGAGCTTCCTGTCCGACTGGCCAATATTATGAAAGAGATCAACCTTCTCCCTGACCGTGTACTGAGTACTCCCTCTGTTCAGCTGGTGCAGAGTTGGTGAGTTCCTGCCCTTTTTTCTCATTCTTTTCTTTTTTTAAATAGTAGTTTTATTATATATTATAATTATAATAGTGAAAACTAATATAAACTACAGTAACAAAATAGAATAAAAACAAAGAATAGAAGGTGCAGGAAAAAAAGAATTAGAAATACTGTGGGAAAGAAAGAAAACTAAAACTATAGAAAATGGAAAGAAATATATAAAGAAGTGACTTCCCACCTTCAGCTTCTCACAATAGTTGCCCCACCTTTTTCCTTCAACTTACAAGGAATTGCAAGTGGCCTCTTTGCATCTCATACCCAAAAAATCCTGTCACTCTGTAAAGCAGGGACAGGTAAAATGATCCCAGTGGACAGATTTTACTCAGTGGGACACAGGTTACCTGTTCTCCTGTTTTTATTTTTAGGTAATTTTAATTTTGGAAAAAAGATTAAATTAAAAACTGGCGTTGCTCAGAGGAAAACACCAACTATTAGCATTGCCTAATTTTACTGGAATTCTTCTGGGTCTTATGGCTATCTGAAAACTATATATAGTTGCAGTCCAGAGCTTTGTCCAAAGTTTCATCTATCAGTTCCCTCCCCCCAAAGAAATGTAAGGAAAGTAGCAGCGAGCAACCTCACCATTTTGACATTAGTTACAGTGGCCATGATAGCCATTTTGTGAAGTAGCAAACCTCTCTGGGACAACCCATTTGTGAAAATGATCACAACATGTTTGAAAAATTTCAAGAGTCTCCAATCCTCTCTCCCCAAATCATCTATATTGTGCATAAACTTAAGGCTGCAGGATTCATTTGTTCAGTTGCATAAGAGTTACTATTTTTCTTAAGCAGAATTGTTAAAGGAAATTTGTTGGTTGAGATTTCCAGAGATCATAAAGATCTCATATGTCAGTGAGCCATGGTTTCATAGATCCTACATAAATCCCCTGGCCGTCTTGGGAAACAATAATAAACAAGAATGGCTGGAAATTTCAGCTCCTTATGGGCACCATGTTTGTGTCCATTGCTGTAGTTGTGGTTGTCCAGCATCTTCCACCACTTTCAGCCTCATCCAGACAATATGCAGTTAACAATGGCTGATGGTCCATGCTTAAAAGAAGATACCACCTCTGGACATAGAACAATAGATGCACCTCTAGAGAAAAAAGATTATAACTGAACAGTGGGAAGCCTGGAGGCCTTAAATGTATTTTCTTTCTCTTTCCTTACTTATCCTCTCTTTATTTACTGCTCTTTATTTTTCCACGGTTTTGCTAAAAGGAATTGTTGTTTTGAATGAATCTCTCTTGCTGGAGTTTTACATTAGCATTGAGGAGGCAAAAGAAATAGGATGTGGCCCTTTAACATGCCAGCATGACCCTTGGCCTACTTGGGGAAAGCAACATGTGAGAGCTTGTTTGTTCCTCTCTGAATTTCCCTGTTCTTTTCTGTCCACATCCCATTGCGGTTGTCAGGGAAACAAGCAGGTGCCAAGGAGAAGTATCAAAAGGCACATAAGGAACTGAGAGCCAAGTTAATTCTTATTTGCCCTTGATCCCAACTCTGAGCTGGTTTTTGTTTTCCTGTGGGAAAGCTCTGATTGCTAATCCTTTGCAGCCTGCAGTTCCATGGCAGTACTTCCTCATAGCAGCCATCCTCCAGAGGCATGGTGGGTCATAATTATTGGCCTTGTGGTCTTGAACACCCAGGTGTTTTACAGTCCTGTACAAGGTAATCCTTGCCTCAAAATCATAAAATGCTTAAAAAATATCTCCCTTCAAGGGATGAATCACAATACATATTTTTAATGTGGCACAAGAAACGTCATTAAATATAGACATCGAGGGACTAGCTACATTATTTGAATTTAATTACATATTTATGAATCAGTCACACTATTCCCCTTCTCGTGTAAACAACAGTCTGAAGAATGCGTAAAAAAGAATAACAAGTAGTAAGCCAAAGGGATAAAGGCATAAGATATAAAAAGGAAACACAAATGTAGCTGAAACTTCTTTACAGGTAGTCTCTGTAAAATTCAAAATTTCCAAAATTTCCAAAATGCAAATATGCCAATCAGGACTGTTCGATGCATTTATATAACTGTCTTCAGGAATCAGAGTGCAAACTATGCTGAAAGCATCGAAATGCAACACAATAAGACTGGGTGGGAAAATCCACATTGACCTTTATTCCCTTCCTGTTAAGTCAAATAGAGGAAATGGAGTTTTTATAATTTTTTTTCTTGAATAAAGCATCATGTTTTTCCTGTTTATTTCTGATAAGGCATTAGAATGAAATATTCAGAAAGTCATACAATGTATGGTTCACCTAAAAAAAAAAAATTTGGAAGAAAGCCACAGGGTTTACATTCTGATAATGGAATAGAATTTTTATATGTACAGATGTCTTATGATTTAAAGAAAAAATTGATTATTTATGAGACATCTGTTCCCTTTATACTATAACAAAATAGGAAGGAAAGGGAGGGAGGGAGGGAGGGAAGGAAGGAAGGAAGGAAGGAAATAAATCCCCATTGTACACATGCAGAGCTACCGTATGTTAGCCGATAGGCCTGATGAGAAGATTTCAGCAATTAACTACCTTCCAAATGAGTTACTGGTAAAGTCATAAGAGGCATTCCTTAGAAATTAGGAAGGCAAAAGTATTTAAGGAAAGCAAGGCTGATCCTTTGAAATTAAAAACAAACAAATGAACTTTTATCATGGCTCATTCTAATGATTTTAAAAAAGAAGAAATCTCTTCAACCAGGAACAGATTGTGAATAAATTGATTCTGTGCAGTAAGAGAAATAAGGCTTGCATAGCGGACTAATCCATTGCAGGAGGAAAACAATATTATAAACTATAGTTTAGTAAAAAAAATTAAATCACCTTAGGATTTTTGGATCTAAATCACAGGTGTCAAACTCGCCGCATCATGTGACATGTCACGACGTATCACGACTTTTTCTGCATTGCCGGAGCTAGGGTGGGTGTGGCCTCTGTATGATGCAACCGGCCCACGGGCTGGCAGTTTGACTCCCCTGATCTAAATGTATGCTTATCTTTCCAAAGATAAAAGGAAACAACAACTGTACCAATAGAAGAGAATATTGTAGCTTGGAATTGAATTGTGGAGTCCTTAGTGTTCTCTAAACTTGTTTGATTTCTTGCAGATGTTTCATTACCCAACTAGGTAACATCTTTAGTGCAACTGTAGTTAACTGAACTGTAGAATTGAACAAGGTATCATGGTTGGATACTACCCACTAGATCTACCCACTAGAAGTTTTAAAGTACAGCAATTAAAATGGCTTATTTTGATGTGAGACTAAAACAATAGATCTGGACTGAACAACCAAGGAATTATGTACTACAAGAAGCACAAGTAGATCTTCAGAATCAAACATAGGACACATAGTAAAATCCAATGCTACAAATACAGACCAAGGGATTTCCAGAAATACTGAGAAGACCGAGGAAACCTTCAGCCTACTTGTGCAACATATTTCTGTCAGAATTCTCTCAAGCATAGAAACAGCTACAGAATGGCAATTAATACATGAATATAAAGACTGCTTTCCTATATGGAACTCAGGAGAAGAAATTTACAGGGAAAAGTCCAAAGTTCATTCAAATTGGAAAGGAGAGTAGTGTGAGAAAAACTGCAGACAAAAACGGGCTTCCAGGATGCAGAATGAAAAACAAAATCTAATGTTGCTATCAAAAGGATTTAAGGAAGACAAGGCTTATCCCTGCCTATGCTTGAAATATAAAAATAACAAATGAACCTTTATCTTGGCTTATGCTGATGATTTCAAAAAAGGAAGTAATCTTTTCAACCAGGAACAGATTGTGAATAAATTGAATCTGCACAGTAGGAGAAATAGGGCTTGCATTATGGACTAATCCACTGCAAGAGAAAAATAATATTATACTGCCATTAAAATTCCATCTAGCTTATCCCTGATATATTGATCTTCTATCTGCAGAGTTTCAACTGTGAGGAACGAATTAGAATAAACAGTACATGGCTTACATCTGCAATGTCTTCTCGTGATTAAAAAGGATTTGCAACAAAATGCAGCTCTGTTGTATATTCTTCTTCAGGTACCATCAGCTGATCTCCTCTTCCAGGATACTCCACTTTATTTTCTTCCTCTCCTAGTTTTCTTTCTATGAATATGTGGGTATTTCTAATAAATAGTCAGCATGCAGACAGCACCAATAGAGGTAACAAAATTGCTGAGTTTTTTGCTCCTAACTATTTTGGATTTTTACAAATTTGGGTTTCCTCAAACCTGCTGATAAGAACCTTATTTGAGAACATCATGCTAATCTAATCTTGCATTTCATTCTTACAGGAATGAGCCAGATGCCAAATAGGAGGCAGGATAGTGCTGCTTTTCTCCTACTCATGTTCTGTAGCAACTGAACTTTATATTGTCTGTGATACCGGAGGCAATATGTGACCGTGATTTGGATCTATCTATCAGACCTTCTTCAAAATACTTTTTCATCTCATTGATTATTTCTGCACTTCATGCTGTTATTTTGATACTTCCCACTTAATATTGTTTGGTTTGCCTTTAGACCAGTGCTTGCATAATTGTAATTGTTGTCATTATATGTGCTCAATAAATACAAGTCAATTATCTGTCGAGTTGTAAGGATTCACCAAAGCTAGAGCAAATAATGTTTAATATTATATATGTATATTTAATTATTTAGAAATACTTGGAGAAATGGAGTCACTGTTAATATGTAAGAAGCTAGAGGAGTGAATCCTAACCTCCTTTTTTCCAAGACATTCCAACCTGTCATAGATAAAAAATGGTTTCATTTTGTAAGACTTAATTGTCAAATAAGCTTGATTTTATTATCTCTTCACAACAATGTGAAGTCCCAGCTGCCAATTCTTCAGCTGGTGTTGGGCTTCATACTCACTTTTTTCCCCAAGAACTTACGATATTGTAATGTATAGTTGTAGTATCTGTGCACATCTGGCAACAAGGCCTTTTTGCAAGTGACAGATGGAAATTTTATAAATGCCATCCAAGAATGTTTGGTATGGCATCCAGTGTGCTGATATATATATATATTAAGATCTAATTGATGTTTTACTTTCTTCTCAGGTATTTACTTTTAAAACAAGAACTTGCACCAAGTGCTAGATCTTCAAAGACAAGCTCTTTCTAATCTTTTTTTACATTTTATTAATTTTTAAAAATTACAGTCTTTAGTGCTTAGTAAACAACATGTTGTCTGGGTTAAAGTATTTAACATTAACTTCTTCAATATAAATCTGTTCAATACTACCCAAAATATTCAACCTCTCTGAAAACAGCTCAAAAGTCTCTCCTCGCCAGGCATTGTCCAAGGTCAATTTTTTCTTTCTCTCCCACTAGCTCTTGAAGTTAAAAGTCCAAGCTCAGTAGGTATTTATAATCCAAGAAGGTCAGGGCAATAGGTATGCCAAAATATTTTCCTTTATTGACAGCTTTATTGTATGTTTCTGTCCCCCATAAAATTAAAACACCGCTTCCATTTTTGTTCGGACGTTTTTAGTTTCTTGGGAGCCTTTCCCAGGAAATTCAGTTGTAAAATAGTAAAGAAAGGATCAATATTCTCACCCAGTTCCAAAAATGCTGTTTATGAGTATTAAGTAGTGCTTTTTTCTTCTTCGGTTGTCAGCAGGTAAGGGCCGGCCACAAGAATGTAGCCGGTCTTTCCCCTACCAGTTTGGAGGGCTTTCCTCAGATCGAATGGAAAGTCTGCCATCTCTCCATGATCAACAAGATTCCCTTCTTCATCACCTCTTCGGGGCGATTTTAGGCCCTTTTTAAGGCCCCCAGCAGGGCGAAATCAGGCACGGAAGGCAGAGCCCTGCCTTTCTGCATCCCATCTCGCCGCAACGCAAACTGGAAGTCCTGCTCTTTCTAATCTTTCATGCACAAGAAAACACTATGCTTAAGATGGTTCTCATTGAAACATGTATAATATACATGCTTCATCAAAGTACAAAGAAAACAGCCTTTTTCTGCAACTGCTATTTTATATTGCTACTTCTTATCTGATAATTTGCACCATCCTGACTGACACGAGGAAAATTATACCCAACACGTATGGAAGGCATGTTTTATGCACATGCAGATTAATCAACCAGCATCACATCTGTAGATAGTCCTTCACTTATGACCACTATTGGGACCAATATTTTAATTGCTAAGCAAGGTGGTTGTTAAGTGAATCACACCCAATTGTGTAACCTTTTTTGCCTTGGCTGTAAAGTGAATTACTGCAGCTTTTAAATGAATCAGGCAGTTGCTCAGCAAATCCAGCTTCTTCCAATGACTTTGCTTGTTGGAAGCCAGTTAGGAGGGTTGCAAATGGCAATCACATGACCTCAGGATGCTGCAACCATCAAAAATACATACCAGTTGCCAAACACCTGAATTTTGATCACATAATTCTGCAATGATCATAAGAACGAAGACTGGTCGTAAGCCACTTTTTTCAGTGCCATTATAATTTCAAACAGTCACTAAACAAATAGTTGTAAGTCAAGCAAAAGTATATCAAAGATCTTTCGGTAGCAAAAATTCAAAGATTGTAGGACTACAGTCTTGTGCTCACTTATTTTACTAAACCATCTTTGGACAAGTGAGTCAATGTAATAGTTTTGTTTTAAATGATGCACTGCTTATCTGTTATCAATTACGTCCTAACAGAATCAGAATAAAAAACAGTTGTTCTTATATAATAAATATGACTCCTCTCTCTCTCTCTCCCTCCCTCCCCCTCCCTCCCTCCCTCCCCCTCCCTACTTTTTCCTTCCACCAGGTATGTGCAGAGCTTGCTGGACATCATGGTGTTCCTTGACAAAGATCCAGAGGACCAAAGGATATTGGGACAGTGAGTTTGAATTTAGAAACCTCTTAAGATGTACACAAATGTATCATTAGAACTCTTAGTTTTAATGTTGAGCTGATACAAACTTCCAGTCTGGCATGTTCCAAGTGTCTTATTAATGAAAATCACAAATTACAGGCCAAATTACCCTCATTGGTTAGGAATTTGGGGAGTGAAAATTCAAGACACCTGAAAAATCTCAGATTAGATAAATTGATTAAGTCTGAATCACCCTTGGATTATTTCTGCATGAATTCTGAAATCAAAGTGTAATTTCTGGATATAAATAGATGGAAAATTCAGTCTCTGTGGAATGCTGCTGTCTCACTCTAGGTTCACCAATGCTCTGGTCACAATTCGCAACCGTCACAATGATGTGGTCCCTACCATGGCACAGGGTGTAATTGAATATAGGGAAGCTTATGGTGATGACCCGGTTTCCAACCAAAACATCCAGTACTTCCTCGATCGTTTCTATCTTAGCCGTATTTCTATCCGCATGCTGCTCAACCAACACAGTGAGTTATCTTAACCCCCTCAGATTTGTTTTTCTTCCTTTTTTCTTCTCCCTTCCTCTTGGTTTTAGTATTAAGGGATGAATTCTTAATTAGAGTTGTATCTTGGTAGGCAGCACCATCTAATGGCCTACTTTTGACATATGATGGCCACCTCCCTTCATTTGCATCTTCTCTTTTTCACAGCCTTGATTTTTGATGGCAGCACCAATCCAGCCCATCCCAAGCACATTGGCAGCATTGATCCCCACTGCAACGTATCAGATGTGGTTAGAGGTGAGTGTTCTTCCTTGATTCCTGCAGCAGCATCAATTTCTCCCTCTGGAATCCTTAAGAAATAAATTTTGCTCCTTAACTCGTCTCCAGTCTCCAAAAATAGGGAGCCACAAAAAAGGTATCCCATGATTATATGCAGCTCTCTGGCCAGGAGTTGCCTACCTTGGATTAACATAAGATGTGTGGCTTGCTTGAAAAGGCAATTGACTAAATTCACAGAAGAAACAGTGGTTGGTTTATATGTTTTGTAGGTCATAATGTGAGTACTTTGGTTTTAAGTTAGTAGGTTGTGCTAAGCATTTAATTGTAGTTTGTTTAATAAATCATGATTAAACAAGCTATAGTTTAATATAATAGGTAACCCAGGCAATATCTAAGAAAATGGGCCCTCCCAAGTACAAAGATTTACTACAGCTAAACTGTTCAATTGTAGTATCAGTGTTGGAAACAGAAGTTGAAACAGATTTGTGATGCAATTTCTTAGGGTTTATCTTATAGTGGAAACTTGGAGGAACTTAAAAGTTCCCTGTACTCTACACCCAAGACATACATAGTTTTTACAAAATCTTTTATGCAGCCACCAGAACTTTTTAATGGTTACTGCTAAACTGTAGTTTTTAAAGTACAATTTAAATACCAGTTTAGGATGTTTTCACTTCTTTATCTTTTCCCTTGCTGTTTTTGGAAATGCAAATCCCTGCTCAAAAAGGATTGCAAGCATCTATATCATGCCAATATAAAAAGAATATAATATGGTCCTGTATTTCTGGAAGGACAGTTCATGAAGCTGGATTTCCTGTTACTGCATGGGGTTAGCGCAAAAGAGAGAAGATCTTCTAATAGTCTTCTGACCCACCTAGGCTGTTCTTTCATAGTCCCTCCTGGTTGAATTAGGTGGTTCTTAAATAGAATTCAGAAGGAAATGTGGATTAAAAAGGAGGAGAAAATTCAAAGCTCTGAAAATTTGGGGGAGGCAATATATTCCTTCCCTGGCTAATTTAGCCCAAATTACAGTAATTTGCATGAAAGTAATATGGAATTTTTAATCTGCTCATCACGTAGATGATCTTTGCCAATTTATGATAAAGCTGACAGGTTATGGAATTCAACAAAGAAGAGCAGCTGTGTTTCTGTAATAACGGATGTTTTGTGTTTCTTGCTGCAGATGCTTATGACATGGCCAAACTGTTATGTGACAAGTACTATTTGGCATCTCCTGACCTGGAGATTCAGGAGGTGAATGGTGAGTTTGCAAAGCTATGATAAAAGTGGGAAAGTTAAGAAGAGGAACAAATAAGCCAAGTGGGAGGGAGGGTATTGTCCAAACAGGCTGTTCAATGGCCTCTTGTATGCACAGGGGATTTTAGAGGGACTGCTAGCCTTCTCCATTTTTTCCTCTTCTATTTAGCCAGTGGAACAACACCTCACAAGTGGCATAGTAAGTAGCTGATGAGCCTTTGATAAGCAGCTACTCTAGAGTTATTGTTGTGGCTTGGCAACTAAAGCTTTGCTAGAATCCCATTTTCCCTTCCTTTGGGCTTCTTTCTTTTTTGCCTTACCTTTTAAAACAGATGACAGTGACTGCCTTTTTAACAGCAAAATAGTATGGACAATTGATACCCCAAAACTGCAATAAGAGGAGATACAGGAGAGCATAAAATGAGATTGGATTATTGCAGGTAATCTGTATCTTCCAGATATGTTGGAATCTTATCCAAGGCAGCATATCTTAAATAGCAGTTATTGGAGGGCAGCAGTGGTAGAGAGACTTCTGTCTTCTGTCTGTGCTTGTGAACTTCCTGGCTGCAGCTGTTGGTCACTGCCTGACACAGGATGCTTGGCTGAATGGCTCCCTGGCTTAAACCAACAGGCATCGTCTTATGTTACTTTAAGCTAGTTCTTTGAGTCCCTGAAAATGCTGGGTTGAGAAAGCACAATTATTTCTGGTTTTAATCAACAAATTTCACATGGGTAATAGTAGCATTCCAGCATTTCTTCCAAAATCCATGCATAATTAGTGAATGACAGGAAACTAGTTGAGAGCTGTGCATCATTATTCTTTGCCTCCTAAGCTTGTACAACTTTAATCCTTGCCTGATGCTTAATTCTTACTACCTCGCTTTCAAATCAGTCACTACCTCTTTCTTCTTTTTTTATGGCAACAGATAAATGATATGAAAGTCATGTAATCCATCCTTCTCTAAGTCTACAGCTTAGTTCAGCTTCTGAAAGTGAAATTTATCAATAGTTTCAGTGATTGTTAAATAGGTAAATGAAACCTTCATGACCAAAGGTATCATGGCCTTAGGTATCTGTGCCTGGAGCAACTGCATGTGGTCAGGGTTCACTATTGTCTTCATGACTTATCTGCTTGTTGGCTTTCTGAATGTATCTGGTTGGCTCACTTCAAGAGCAGGCTGTTGGATTAGATAAGTCATTGACCTTTGTATAGATAAAAATCCCAATAGCCCCCAATTGGCACTTCAAAGGAAAGAAAAATACAAACATACATGTGTGCGTACACACACACGCGCACAAACATTGGCCCGTGGTCTAAACCAGCAGATGTATATATATAAATGTTTTTTTCTGTTTTACACCAACTGCCTGATCTGAAGAGTCTTTTAGAACTGGGGGTTCCATAGATATAGTTTTGCATGGAAAATCATCCTAAAGAGAGACCAGATGGAGTAAATTTATTATATCTGAGCTGCAAAAATCCAGACAATCATCACACAGCCAAATTTTAAGATTTTTTGGTATTGTTTTGTTGTCATCTAATAGTTGTCCAGATTTTTGCAGCTTGAATATGATAGCCTCATTGTGGAATAATATAAAGTTTGGGGACTTGGTAAATGTGATAAGTAAATATTCCTGACTTGGTGGCAAAATGTGTAAACATAATGTTGAAATCATCCAAGGAAAGTTCTGAAATAGCCTAATCATATCAGGAAACCAAACTGCAGTGTTGGGCAGAGTATCTGAATGTAAGTGTCTTTGGAAAAATGATTAAAATAAATCAGGTAAAACTTTTCAGAAAGTTAGGTAAACCTGATAATTTACTTGACCAAAAGAAGTTTGAGAATTTACAATCAAACAAAAAGCCTGGGGAGGCAGAGGACCAATGAAGTTTGAGGAAGCTGCCCGTCTTGTGAAGTTTTCTGCACTTAGTTATATGGCTGAGGCATCTTTACTTTAGCATGAAGATACTATAGAGTGCAGGTAGTCCTCGACTTACAACAGTTCATTTAGTGACAGTTCAAAGTTACAATGACACTGAAAAAAGTGACTTATGACCATTTTTCACTTATGACCGTTGCAGCATATCCATGATCACATGTTCAAAATTCAGAAGCTTGGCAACTGACTCATATTTATGACAGTTGCAGTGCCATGTGATCATCTTTTTGCAACCTTCTGACAAGCAAAGTCAATGGTGAAGCCAGATTCGTTTAACAACCGTGTGATTAACTTAAGAACTGCAGTGATTCACTTAACAACTGTGTCAAGAAATGTCGTAAAATGGGGCAAAATTCACTTAACAACTGTCACACTTAGCAACATCAATTTTGGGCTAAATTGTGACCATAAGTTGAGGACTACTTGTAATGGGACCAGTCATGACTAGTGCATCTAGTCATACTGATGTGATTATGAACTTCAAATTTGTGTTGAAGAACCCTATTTCTTCTATATTATTGCAGCAAGGAGCATGGATGTTTGGCATATGGCAAAAAAATAACAGAAACAAAATAATAAAGTGCCATCTTAATTACCTTTGTTCTGCTTCTAGCTAATCAACCCAACCAACCCATCCACATGGTCTATGTTCCATCTCACCTGTACCACATGCTCTTTGAACTGTTCAAGGTAATTCTCTTGGAGTTGGAGTCTGTTTCTGTAAAATGTTTTGGTGCTGTTATTCAAGCCAGAAATCAGGTCTATAACTTGAGGTCAAATATTACGGTGTGTGTGTGTGTGTGTGTGTGTGTGTGAGTGAGTACTGCTCCATTTAGTGTCAGAGTATCTCAGATGCAACATTGGATCATCCTAGCACCTTGGGGAATTTTAGTCTTTACCTTGAGATTGCCCAATAAGGAGTGACTCAGGAATTTAGGTACTCCACGAAGATCATAGAGCTATACCAACTCATATATGGTCCCACTTGTGTAGTGGATACTCAAAAGTATTTGATTTTCTGTTCAGTCATATTTTCTATTTGAGCATTTGCAACTTCTGACAAATGCTTCAGGCTAGTACGCCTGTGTTCCAGCAGCCACATCATAAATGCTTGGAAGCTTCCATCCATTGCCCATAGAATGTTGAGATGAGATAATTAACTAGTTAATTAAGCCAAAGGCCTAATTAACCAGTCTAACTTTCTGCTTCATCCCCTGAGCTCTCCAATTCCTTCTAATGTCCGAAGTGATGATCTTTAGGAAAGCAGAACTTAGTGTCTAGCACAGTTAGTGCCTCTTCTATTTTGCAGAAAAATAAAAATGTTATGAAAGAAATAGTAAGTGGAAGGGTGCCATGAAAATAGCTTACTGAGGATTGGATCTATCCAATGGCTCTAGAATGCTGAACAATTGTAACAACAACAACAACAACAACAACAACAACAGAAAACCAATGGAGCATAATGGGAAGTTGCAAGAGATAGATGTTGGTTAAGCATTAAGACAAGAGTTCCTGACAGCAAGATTTATTTGACGATGAAGCAGAGGATGGCTTCGCACACAGCTCTAAGCTATAACTAGAGCACCAGTCTCAGTGTCTACATCTGGCCAAAGACTAATGTAAAAGAGATTATCCTTTACTGGAGGTATTTAAACAGAGGCTGGAAGGTTTTCTGAGCTGCTTGCCATATTTCCAGCCTGTATTGCAGGCCTGGACCAAATGATTTCTATATTCTCTTTCTGTTTTTTAATTCATAATTTGTAGGGTTGCCAGGTCTGCTTCCAAAAAATAGCGGACAAGCGGGGGGGGGGGTTAAGTAGTAAAAAAAGTAGACTGTACAGCTTTAGATTACGTACCATTCTATCATAAAGCTTTTGAATAAAAAAAATGTCCACTATTTTGTGAAAAAAAATAGTGAACATAATGTGAAAAAAGTGGACTGTCCGCTCAAATAGTGGACACCTGGCAACCCTAATAATTTTAAAGAATAAGTACATAGAGGGCCTTGCTGGGCCCGGGGACGTTCATTAGAGCATTCTAACGTATTTCTCTTTTTCTCCTGTTGTCTTCCAGAATGCCATGAGGGCCACTGTAGAAAGCCACGAGTCCAGCCCCACATTGCCACCCATCAAAGTGATGGTGGCTTTGGGCCAGGAGGATCTCTCCATCATGGCAAGTGAACCGATAGAAGAAGAAGGATATACAATAGTGAACAGGCGAGGCAGAAGCTGCAGCTACTAGTGGTTTGCGAGGCAGTAAAAGAATATCACTCTGTTTCATAGTTTTCTTACAATTTCTGGTTTCATATTCAAAGTCCCAAGTTTCTAGGAGAGAAGAAGGTTTCTCCATCACTCACATCCAATTCTCTCCAAAGTGAGAAAGCAAATGAGAACAGAAATACAGTTATTGACTCAGCTACAAATCCTGGGTGACCGTGACCCAGTTACTATTTCTCAATATAATTTGAGTTACTGAATAATTGTGAGGGTAAAATAGAGCCGAGGAGAAAGAATCATAAATGTTGCTTTCCCAAACAGACATCCTCTGAATGTGTCGAATTCATCCTCAGAATTTCCCAATCAGCGAAGCGACTCCCTAAGTAGCGAATGCTGGGAGCCCACCTGTTTGCAGGACATTCTGGTTGGAAAAAGCCATCCTAGAAAAAAAAACAGAATATAAACATAATACAAAAAAATACAACTGGATGGTTTGGAAGGAATGAATATTACAGGCTTCTGTGATTGGCCGTTTGCATGATAAAAGGTATCAGCATAAACAATTTGATAACAAGTTTTGGATCTGGGCCAGACAGGTCCTGAACTGCTGCTCTGGTCGTTACATTGGAGTCTGTTACTTCTAAGCACCACATTATTCTAGTTTCTGTTCAGCTTGTACTGTCTTGGCTTGATCGTGATATCAAGATGTTTTTACTTAATTCAGTACTGTCAAAAAAGACAATAAAGAAGAAAATCAATTTGCATAAATTTGCGTAAATTAGATGTAAAAATGCAAACTTGGAAATAATTATTATAATTTAAATAGGAATGCAAAACACATCATTGTAGAACAGAAGGCTGGGTCCATATACTCTGTTTGCTTGCTCAGTCTGGTGAAAGACAAATTCACTTCTGGTTCTCTCTCTCTCTCTCTCTCTCTCTCTCTCTCTCTCTCTCTCTCTATCTATCTATCTATCTATCTATCTACCTATCTACCTATCTCCCTCTCGCTCTCTGTCTGTCTCTCTCTCTCAACCTTTAATTGGACTTGTTAGTTACCTCTTTAAATATAAATGTAAATTCTGATTAGAGTCAGACCCCATATCTGGAGACTTCATTGACACAATGAGGTTTTCTTGGCAGCAATATGCAATGATTTGTCAATGTGTGTGTGTGTTGTGTTGTGTGTGTGTGCGCACCCGCTTTCATTTTTCAAGACTGGCTATAGCCAGTTAGGTACTGCCAGCTAATTGGTTTCCTTAAAGAAAAGCTCCTCAAATGAAGATCTGGTCTGTGAAAATAAGGGTGCATGGCTTTCCTAGCTCCATTCCCTCCCTGTACAACTTCTGCCTGTATCTGTTTTTTTTAATCCTTCTGTTGTGGAGCAGATGAGTGACCGAGGCGGTGGGGTTCCTCTCCGCAAGATTGATCGACTCTTCAGCTACTTATATTCCACAGCACCCAAACCAGAGCTGGGCTCCGGAGGGACACCCCTGGTATGTGTTATAAAGTGGGCCAAAGTTGTGGATGTCAAGCCATTTAGTATTGCAAACAGTCTTTTAAAAAGTCATGGCAGTTGGCTTCAAACAATTTGATTTTTTAAAATATAAATGTTGCCTTAAAGTGTCCTTTGCCAGTGACCAGTAGAAATCTGTGCTTTATCAGTCTTAAGAGAAATCACTGCAGAAATGGGATCAAATATAAAAGATCATCAAAGGGATAAAGTGGGGATCACTTTAAATGTTCTGATGTTAGAGCAATAGGACTGTAAGGAAAGAAAAATATTATTTATTTCTAATTAAATTCTGAGAACAATATGTGGAAGAAAGCCACAGTAAAATAAGACTTAAAATTATATAGGTGACAGTAAAATAAGACTTAAAATTATATCTGGGGGAGGGGAAGTTCATTATCTCTTTTTTTCATGCCATCTTCATGATTTGAATTGTTCAGAACTTACAACATTGTGAGGGAAAAGAATAAAAGTAGCTACTTTTTCTCCTTATCAAGACTAAAATTAAGGTTGGGGAACCATTTATAACATGAAAATGGCAGGGAAGAGAAGGACTAAACATCCCCTTCCCCATCACCATTGCTCAAATAAAATTTGGAATCCCCTGGTCTCCCTCATTTCTTTATATTTTTGTAAGTGGGTGTGTTTGCAGTGGTGAATCACCAGTTGTGACAACCATCTTGGCTCCCGGTGTGCTTCATGCCAACGAAGTTAGGGATGCATAATAGGACTCATAAGACTGCACAGAACTAATTCTTCAAAGCGGCGTTTCTCAATTTCAGCAACTTTAAAATGTGTGGACTTCAATTCCCAACATTCCCAGCGTGCCAGCCATGATCGTCCCCTCCTAAGATCTGGCTGGGGAATGCTGGGAGTTGAATCCAAACATCTTAAAGCTGCTGAAGTTGAGAAACACTGCTCCTGAGGTAAGTAACAAGCATGCTTAACAATGTGGTGTTATTGACAATGAATAACCCATTTTTTTCTTCTTCTTTCAAAAACAAGGCCGGCTTTGGCTATGGGCTACCTATCTCTAGACTCTATGCCAAGTATTTCCAAGGTGACCTTCAGTTATTCTCCATGGAAGGATTTGGAACAGATGCTGTCATCTATTTGAAAGTGAGTTGGTGTCTTGCTCATTTCCTGCTCATATTCCCAGTCCCAGTCCCATGTCCCTATTTCCTACTCATTCTGCCTCTCATTCCTGAGATCATTTGCCTTACCTAAAAATAAAAGCAGACAATCTGCCAGTGATACCAGGTGGGTCACTGCATGTGATTTTATCAAAACTGCATCCTAATCTATGTTACATCCTTCTAGGCCTTGTCAACAGACTCTGTGGAAAGGCTTCCAGTGTATAACAAGTCCGCATGGCGTCACTATCAGACCATCCAGGAGGCAGATGACTGGTGTGTGCCCAGTACGGAGCCCAAGAACACGTCCACCTATCGAGTCACCTAAGCTAGCCTCTCTGTTACCAGAAAGGGCACTACCCTGCTTCTGAAGGGGAAAAACCAAACTTTGGTGAGGGGAGAAAAAGAAACAAATGATAATCACCAGCATAAATCCCACCTTGTGTTGTAAGACCTCTGTGGAGTATTCCCCTTGGCTGCCTGGCCATTTCACCTGTTAGACAGCATCCTGGTCACTTTCTCAGATTTCTTTTCAGAAATGTGTAGTCTAGATCAACATAACTCTGCATGGAATTTCTTTGCCTCACTACAGTCCTGCCTTTTGATCTATTGGATTGGAAGGCTCTGAAGGATCTCCTTTTGTTCCTATTTTAATATTTGCGCACATCACCTTTTTATTATGTTTGCATTGTAATCATGAAGCAGAGAGAACTTGACCACTAAGCATTAATATGTTGAGAAAAATCGGGAAGCAAGAAGAGAGAAAAGAAGAATCTAAAAGTGTGGATGTGATTATGTTGCATTTCTTCAGGTGAACCAAGATCCAAGCAGAAGGCACAAAGAAGTTTAAAACATGACATAGGGATGGCAGAGTTCAGTGCATCTATTGCAAAGAGCCAAGGACATTAGAAAACACAGGCTTATTTCTTAGTATATTGCTCTGGAAGTAAGAAATATTCTCTCAGTGGTAGATATTTTTGCATTATGTTCTGTGTGCTTTTCACAATACAAGTCTGAATCTCAGGCAAGTTGAGGAAAGCAGCACAAGAACCAGGAATTTTAGCCCTGGAAGAATCAGACTTAGATTGCACTAGATACATTGAGACCTAAGGAAAAGGTTTTGCTAGCATTGCAGATGGTTTGAGATTTATGGTTTCGTGCTTGTTTGTTTCATTTACTACTTGCACTTTTGCTCACCATGGCTCAATTCCTGGACTGGCTTGTGATGGAATATAGATCCTTAGGTCCTGCTTATTTTGGAGGAGATACTCCTCCCCACAGAAAAAGTATTGTGATACATTTGGGGAGTGGATTGGGTGGCTTATGGGAGAAAACTGGAGGCAGAAGAAATGCCAAAGAAAGAGTCTGTTGAAGAGTAAATTGGGAACACTGAAAGCTTCATTCCTGTCCTCCAGCTGCAACAGAATAAACGGAATATATTTATTTGTAGGATATATTTCTGGTTCAAATGTCTCCAGTGCTTAGAAGCTATGGGCAAAAAAGGGGCTTTTTAGCCAAGAAACTCAGAGGCAATCAGTTATGTTATGGATACAGGGAGAAGCTCTCTCCTCCCTTCTTGTATAGACCCCCCCCCAGCCCACCCACCCCACTCCTTTGGCAGCTGTTTGCTTTCCAGCCGCTCTTTGCTATGATCTCACTTTTCTAATCCCCATTTCAAAACAAGTGGAACTGTTTTGTAGGCGGAAAACTGCTTCGGCCTTCTATTTTTATCCTGTGCTATTGTTCTAAGCAGATGTTATGCTTAAGGGGTCTGCCCAAATCCCCCAGAGTTGCACTCGCCTGTTTACCATTTTAAGTAGTAATAAACCACCCTTCTGTCACTGCCCCATCCTCTGTGCTGGGCACTTTGACCAGGAAAGGGCCTGTGTTTGTATGCTTAAATGTACTTTTAATTCTTTGGGAGGAACAAGATATGTGCCAAGGTCCCATTGCTGCTACAGTATTATAGTATCAATTTTTTTTTGATGAGCTAAGAAAAAAAACATTAAATTTAAATATATCTTCCTGGTTGTATAACTTGATTTCATTGGCATCAATAGTAGTACATGGTAGTAAAACAACATGCATTCTACTTGTGTGCTTGAAGCTCACCTTTGTTCCTGAATTATGTCTCTTGATTCATAACATGTTGTCTTCAATTATGCAGGATGCAGCTGTCCTCAGTATTGCTGGCTTCTGATATGAGTAGGAGAGATGTTTATTACTCAAACATGTTATGATGACACCTAGTGGAGATATATGTGAATCACATAAAATTTGGATAAGAGTTGGTCTTGAGCTTCTTTCTTGTAATCTTTCATCAGTGGGCATGGGGCTAAGAATAATTGTAATTATGGAGGACCACATGTCACAAAGCTTTGAATTGGAAGAGGAAAGAGAAATTTTGCCCATGTGAATTGACTTGCCTTTCTTCCTCCTCCTAATCAATAAACGGTTGCAAAATCCTCCAGGGAAAACATCTAGGTATGGGCATCTGAGGTGGCAGCACGAGGAGGGCAAATGACAATCTGTGTGTCATGATGTTGCAATGCAAATGAAATTATCTTTTGTACTTAGATCACAACCTCATATGCAGGTACTAAGGGGCAGGGCTTATCTTGTGTCATCACAATACACATTTCATTATTTTGGTGAAACTTCATCTGCTGTGGATGTGGCTACATCTGGAAATTGTCCATTTTCTCCTTAGGCAGAGTTAGGCAGCATTTTGGCTGGTGGCAACTTTACCATTTTCTTGGAAGGATATTGTAGAAGGAGAGTTGTATTAGTTTATAATAGCAACAAATCAGGAGGAGTTTGGTAGCGCCTTTTCTGACTAACAAATGTTATTAAAAGGCATAAAAGACTTATATTTTGAAGGGCATGACCATGGATAAAATGTATGAGGCTGTCTCTCTGACAACTAGGTATGCCCTTCCCAATCCAGGCTGATCTATCAGTTACTTTCTTTATTTGGTGTTTACCACCAAGTTTTCTTCCCCTCGGTTAGGCTTTTAGAAGCAAGGCCAAAAGAAGAGAAATCCCTTTCTCCTTTTCTGCTGATTAAAATTCACTGGATCACCTTCACCTCATTTACTGAAAATCACTCTGTAAAGCCTTTGTCAATTTGGTACTGACTTACAAAGCTCTTTTGTGCAAAAACTCCACTTACCATAGCTATCCCTTCTCCTTTTCCCCAAGACACAATTTTAAAAAATATTTAGAATACTGTGTTTCCTCTTCCTTTTTTGGATGGTGTCTTTATGTGCAATCATACTGCACAGCATTTGGATTTTTTAAACTTGCAATTGGCATATACACACCTTATGTGATGCTCATGTGTGATACATAATTTGCACACCAGATTCACAGGTCTTGTAAGGCAGATTCCCAGATTGCATCTCTGACCAGATACCTATTTAGGTAGTGCTTAAAATTTATTAAGGATATGCAACATCAACAACAAATAGGGCTGGGTGTTAGATTTAAAGCAAGAGATTGGGCTTCCACAAAGGAAATGTGTGCAAGGGAAGATTAGGGAGACCTGGTTGAGGGGATGATTAGATCCCAAAGAAAAATTAGCTGTGAGAGAAACAAGATGCTTACATTGAGCACTGTACAAAGCCAGAACAAATCTTATTGCCACTTCGCCATTATTCACCATACTTGGAAACCTGTATGGGTTAGATTCCTTCCTAAGTCCTGAAAAACGTTGCTCCCCCACTTAGGAATGATGGGCTTAAATTTGTACTTATTTGTTTTTGTCCTCCTGTGTTGCTTTTTATAAATAACTCAAAACTACAAACATGTCTAATATTCCTTCCTCCTTGTTTCCTCAAAACAACCCTATGAGGTGGGTTAGGCTGACTTGCCCAGAGTTGCCAAGTTGGCTTTCAGACTTTACTTACATTACTTAAAATAAGAGCAAACCCCACTCCCTCCTACTATGATGTTATCTAATTTGGTAATGAAATATCTGCAAGAAAACAATGAAGCTCATAGAGTAGCAATCATCCCACAGTTCAACCCTGAGCTATAAATACTCTTATCGGTTACCTTACTCAACATTCCTTACTTCCTTCAAAGCCTCCTTTTTCCATAGCTCTCTGAGGAATAACTCCTTCGCTATTTAAGAGTAAGGGGGAAAATTTAGCCAAGTAGCTCATATAGACTATTCCTTTTTAAAATTCCTCTGTTCAATGATGTCCGATTCTTGGGGACTGCCCAGACAAACCTCTGCAGTTTACTTGGCAAATGTTTCAGAAGTAATTTGCCATTGCCTCCTTTCTAGGGCTGAGTGAAATGATTGGCCCAAGATCAGCCAGCTGGCTTTATGCTCAAGACAGGATTAGAACTCATGGTTTCCCAGTTTCTAGCCTGATGCCTTAATCACTTCACTGTCAATTTATGAGAGATTAAAGTCATTAGAAGAATATTTGCATTTTTAGAAGTTTATATTAAATGTTCAACTTGAATTATAAGACATACAGTTCAAGGCAAGATTTTCATAGGGGGAAGGAGGGTGTTTTTTGGGTGAGAACCTTTTTTATTTTGTAAAATTGTGTTCAGCCTACCTTAAAGTTTCTCAAGTTGAAATGACAAACTGGGCCACTGTTTTTTTTAGCAATTATGATTGGGAGAGCATCTTGAGTATTTTTTTTTTTAAAAAGTCTTCAAAAACCCTATATAGTCCTGAGGCCTCAGGTTGTCCACTCTTGTGGGAACTAAAGCAAGTGGCATAATAAAATGTTACAAGAAACATTTCATGCAAGGCCTATTTTAGGGAGAATCAGGTGTTGTTTGCTTTGTCAACTTGATCAACAGAAAAGCAGCAGCTTCCCTCCTAGTCCCTTGAAGGAACACAAGAAGGCTCTCAGGCCTGCTGGCCAAAAATGGCAGAGCCTTTTCTTCTGTGGACAGAGGAACCCTAAGGAATATCTCGCACTAGCACTGAGCCAAGCAGTTAAATATTTCTTTTTTCTTCTCAATTTGGAACAAGGTCAGTAACAAACACCCCACCTTATTCCATTGTTTTGGAGCATGTGCAAATTGATGCAATGTTTCCTTAACTGCAGGAGCATCCTTGAGGAAGCATCCTCCCTCTGTCTCTTTTTCAAGTCCCTATACTTTGCAAAATGTCTTGAGATATTGTGTATTTAGGGAGAAGTACGTGACATGGTCAGTGCCAAGATATTCCCATGCTGGATACAGTACAATCATTGAGTCGTTCTCTTTCAAAGTTTGGGGCCATTTTTCAAACTGGCATCCAATGCCTGCCAACCTGTTCATGGAAGGTCATGTTCAAGGCAGGAAGCTGGCAAGGTGATGCTGTTTTATTATTTACATAGGAGTAATTTTGGAACAATGGTTCACCTTAGGATGACCTTTCCCTAGAATGTTATTTGCTATGATTTTTTTTTAAAGAACGAAAGTTTAAAGAACAAAGTTTTAATCTAAATAATTTCCCATAAATAAAGGATTCCTAGATGTTACTGTCTAAACAAGTGGTATTTCCAAATACACAAAGGCAGCTTATGGTGAAATGGTCAACTTCACAATGTTCAGGACTTGAGGCAGGGATTACTAATGTATGTGTGGGGGAGAAAGAGAGTGGTTGCCTTTTTAAAATTGCATATATTAAATATTTTATACATAAATCACAGAGCTGTTTGACACTTCAAGTTCTGAAGATGAACCAGGCTAGATTTGCCAGCAGTCCCTGCTGTGTGGGCAGAGGTCAGTCATTACAGAGATTCAGACAGTAGGAGAATATTCTTTTATGAATATGCAAAGGTACATATGGCAATACTTTAGAGCAAAGTAGAAATTAAAAAGAAAATATTGTGTGCAATATGCATAAGCACATAGTGGCTTTATTGCAATATCTGTTGCTTCCCCCTGTTTTGCATGAACATTTAGCAATGAAGGAAGTAAAATGTTGGGCTGAGATGGGAAGGTAAATGCCATCATTATGCCATCATTGGTTTCTCAGGGATAAAATGGGCCCCAATTTCCAAGTCAATATATTCCCTCCAAATATCTTGGATCTTTTGCCAAGACCCTTTGGGCTTTGGTCAAAGCACAAATCTAGCAGTTTTGATAAGTCAGGACAGATTTTTATTCTGTTTTTACTATCCCTATTTAAAAATGTCTGCAAAGTATTGCTTCATATTTGTCATTGTACAGTTACGTTAGCTGAGAAATAGTGGTAGAGCAGGAGTTGCACCCAAGGAAAGGCGGGATAGGGGCCTTTTGGCTTTCTGGTTCTTGTCAGTATAAGCACTGTGATAGAGGTTCTGTTTTCTAATAGGTCTGCCCTCAATTCAGAATGACCCTACAGTTCCCACAACTGCAACAGATATCTGGGTGATGAATCTATGGGGGAAGTTCTCTACAGAATGCAGGATCCTGGCAGAAAGACTGAGTTTGGACAAAAAGAGACAGGTTGCTGTCCAACTGCCCAAAGCACTGAGAGCTTTTAAGACGTTTCAGAGAGTAGGGACTGAGGGACAGTTAATATCCATAAACAATGAAACAAAACAAGAAGAGTGAAGCCTGTGATTATGGGTTGCAGGTTTCTTAGAATCCACTGAGGATTCTTTAATTTGAAAACTGACCCAAAGAAAGTCAACTCCAGGAAGAAAACAGAATGTCCTCTTAATGAAGACAAACTCTGCAGTCTCAGTTGATCCATCCTTCCCTCTCTAGGGAGCAACACCTAAACAAATATGAGGTGCATGTTCCTTCCACAGTTGCAAATTTTAGTTCGAGTTTTTTCATATTTCTGTATTTCTACAGAAACTCTTGATAGTTAGTGGCCTAGGTGGGAAGGGTTGTGCATTATAGTTATTGATTTCTACAGTTCACCTTTTGAAAAACTTATCTTGGGAGAAGCTTCCTAATAAGAATGGAGATTTATTTTCCCCTTTGCTAACTGGGAACAAACCAGTTCTTTCTAGAGATTTAGATCAATGTGGGCTCAGACATCTCTGCACAGTCCTGAGTGTGGGTGTTTATAGGCTTCTGTGAAGTAGTAGAATGTAATTCAAGACTGGCATAACACAGTTGTGAGAGAAATTCAACGGATGGCTATATTGAGGAGCAGATCTGTGCAATGACTGGAACTGGATAGTTTGCCTTTCTTGGAACAAGTGGCACTTTACAAAATTTAAAGCATCAATTTTAAGCCGTAGAACCTCCCCAAGTTGAAAAGACAAGAGTCTAAATATTGCTGTTCTGCTCCTTCCAGAAGAGGGAAGGAGCTGCAAATATGAGCTGAGTTGTCCATGCAATTTAAAAGCACGGGAAAGGCAAAGTGCATTTCCCCTGAGCCACCTACATTCTCTTAACAGAACACAGTTTGTTTTTCATCAGCAATATCCCAGAAAGGTTTAGAGAGCACCTCCAATCCCACAAGGTTATTGCACATTCAGCAAAATGAGACAGAAAGTGAGCAGGGTGTGTGTGTGTGTGTGTGTGTCTCACTGCATGATGGGCTGCAGGTTGCAGACATGCACTGGTTGCCCTGTGTGCGAATATTATGTGCCAATTTGATAAAACAAACCTAAATTTTCAGAAGGCATCTGAGAACAGACCTTATAGTGGAATATATGCAGTGAAGTAGTTTTAATTTCCTTTCATTCTGACTTCCACTTTCATAGTAAATACGAAATAATATTCTGAAATAAGATGCAAAACCTCTGAGGTTAGTAAGTGCTCTGCTTGCCCTTTCTCTCAGGGTGAGGGAAAGCATTTTATGCATTGGTTTCTTTCTCCCATATGCCCAGCTTTCTTCCCTTCCCCCTTCCCCCCAGAAAACTCAAAGAAGAAAATGGAATGTCCTCTTAATGAGTCAAAGAAATTCAGTATTAAGAAAAAAAATGGTCTTTTTGAAGTGTCAGATTATGCCATTGCCCTCTCCTTTTGAAACAACCTTAAAGCGGTCCTGCCAGCATGAGACTATTAGGAAATAACGGGGAGAAGGGGAGCCCTTCCACTTATCTGTGCAATAACTTTAATGCACAAAACCAGCCGACAATGCAACATTTCTTTTATTCCACCGTGATTCTTTGTTGTATATTGCCAGGCATCTAAAGCTCCTCCTCCCCCCATATAAGTTTGGTCTCTTAAGTGGTGAGCAACCTACCCATCCACTCCCAGCAATATCATTCTGTAGGCATATGCGAAGAATGGGCAAAGATTGCTTTGCCCTCCTGGTGCAGAGGGAGGGAGGGAGGTAGATGGGAACCTAAAAGAAACTTATGCAATTGTCTCAACCTTGTGTTTTGAGAGTGTTTGTGTATGTGTGTGCATGCATGTCTGTGTGTCCCTTGTTTGTGTCTTGCAAGGCAGCTATGTTCCCCTGGTAAATGGCGGGAGGATGTGATGGGATATCTAACTGACACAGAATATGAGCCCATCAAAGCCTTTGAGGTGAGCAATTTTGTGTAGAGGAATAAGATCAACAGGGAAATATAGAGATATAGCCGTGTCATCTGAAGGTATTACACAGAGCAGGGGCTGGGGAGATAGCATCATCACCCACCTCCACGTTGCACCACTGGCAGAAGGGAGTCTTGCTGATCCCCTGAAAGTGCAGTTGGATTGTCCTGGCATAGTAGAGGAGATACTATTTGCATCAACTTTGTCTTTTCTGTCCCTTGTGGCCAATCCAACATTAGTGATGTGCCAAGCTCCTACTGCTGGTGTCACCATTATCTAGTCCCAGAGCAAGTTCAGCTTCGCCCAATGTCCCACCCAAACCCATAACCTTTGATAGGACCATGCTTGCATCTTGCTCTCCCTTTTCCTGAATGCTGATGTCCATCCCCTTCATTCCAGAGATGCTCCATAGGAATAGGGGAAAATGAGTCTAAGCCTATGTTGGGAAATGGTAATTCCCCCCTTCTCCTCTTTGCTTAACTCTTCCTCTGTTCCTGTTCTTTCTTTTTCTGTTTTTCTTTCTGCTTCTCCATCTTTTCCTGGGCTTTCTTCTCTTTCTCGACAGCTGCATTCAGCTCCTTCAGCTTTCTTTTTAAAAGAGACCGATCATGAGAGTTGCTGACACCAAGTGCCTGTGGAAATGGAGGAAGGATATAGCTGTAAAATCAAGTCATGCAGAGGAAACTTAGTGCACGTTCTTGTGGGCCCTTAAATTACTGCGGTTTCTAATGAACAAATAATTCATACTTCAGCAGCAAAAGGATTGATTTGTAGACTGCATCTGAAATTGACAATCCTAGGCTAAATGGATAAAGAATCTGATCTGGTATATAATGCTATCTTCCTATGATTCCTTGCATTTCAAATATGACTTGGATGTTTAAATAATCCAGATCTTTTTCTAAAAGTTTATCAACTTGGAATCCATTTGGAGAAAAATGCTTGAAGCACTTGCTAATAAAAGTGCCTATATTTAAGATCTGCGCTTACATAAATATCGAACATTTTCTACTAGAGTACAACTTGTTCTATCAGTGCTAAGTTTGTACTTGTAGAACCAAAAATATGGACTAGAGGGCCTTTTTTTCCCCCAAACAGCATTTCATCTGCAATCTCCATAAACAGATCTATCTATCTTTCAAAGGCCCATTTTCAGAGAATCATCTTCGCCGTTACCTTCAGCTTGGCTCCATCAAGGAGCAGCAACTGTTGTCCATCCACATCTTGAACAGCGAATTCTGCCATGTACTGTTCCAGGTTCAAACTCTCCAGCCACTGGCCCACTTTCTGGCTGCTCCACATTGAAGCTGCACTCAGAGGCTCATCCAGAAACTTCAGGGAAGATTGTTTGTAGGGGAAGAAAGAGAAAGAAGGTGGAATCTGATGTTGTCAGTAATTCTTGTACTTTATATGTGAAGTCTAAACTTCCTGGCATCACATCTAGTCAGCCATTTTGAGGGGGCACCGTTCATAAACTTTAACTCCTTTTAAAATTATTGGGAAAATACTTATTTGCTTTCTCTATAATCACAGGGATCCACAGCAAACTACAATTATATCAAAATGATGTCAGAATACAAGTCCTACAACATCTTGATACAAATCTCTCCCTTGCATACTTATGTTCTGACATCTTTTATCATGACATGTGGTTCATCACTTGTCAATCAAAACCTTCTAGGGATGCCTTCATCTACACCATTTCAAGATGTTCTAATGGAAGAATGTGGTAGAAATTATGCTATCTTTGTTGTTGATAATGTAATCATGGCAGCTACTGTGCTGATACTATTCTTTCTTCTTCAGTAATGTATCAATATTCTATGCTTTAGATAACCCTCATTATCAACAGTTTCACATATCCAAAATCAATAAAACCCCAAACCCCAACACATGCAAAAAGGTATTTGTGTACCCACAATTATGTCTTTCTTTGATGTTATTTTTTTTTCTTTGCATGCACGAAATGATGAATGGGGTTCTGTACAAGCTTTTTCCTTCCATTTTATCATTTTTATTGAAAGTTTTAAAAAATAAAAAATGCAAACTATTGAAAAGTAAAGGCAGAAAACAGAGAAAAGAAAATAAAGATAAAAGTGCCGAAAGAAAGAATAAAAGGAAATCTAAACAAGCAGCTTCTGATTTCCTTTGCAGAAAATATAAGCTGAATTACAAAGTTATCTTTTACTCTGCAATTACAAAAGAAAGATCACTCTTTGCAGTTATCCAGGTTTTTTTTTTCTAATCATACAACTTCAAGTACATTGCTAAAGGTTATATCATTTGTGTAGTGTCCCTGTATTTGCTCCTCACTTGGTTGCAGCAGTCCTTGCTGGGTCTAGAAATAACTACATTATTACATGCAGCGTACATCCTTCATCACTGAATGATTGCAAAAGGATAAGGTCTCTTCCTTTTTTTAACATCATACAGGTTATAATCACACTAATTACATCAGTTGGATAACTCTCCCTATGGGATGCAGAGAATAACCACAGGCTATGACCCAATTTCTATAAATTCAGCTTCTCATTATTCACAGTTGTATTACCATTTTATGTTGGAATGACACCCAATTAAATCATGTAGTTTCTAATAACCCAAGTGATATTAAACATACTAGTATATTAATACTTATTCACTTGTTTCAACAGAGATAGCAACTTGAATGGCTGACTTGTGGTGGGATGAATTCAGTGCTCAAAAGCAATGCACTATAAAAATAAATGTCTAGTCCGCATGAAGCATGAAGGTTGAACAGGCAAAAGAGGAATTACAGTATTATTCTGCAGAGTTTGAAAACTAAGGGACTAACCTCATCAGATGATTGTGACAGTGTATGGTATGGATAGGAACACTTGGTCTCTGGCAGAGCCATGCTCAAGGTCTTAGGACTGCTGCTGGGAGGGGTGGAGTCATCACTTAGGGTGGATTCCTGGCAAAAAAGCAGAATTAGAGAAGCTGAGAGCAGTATCTATCTCCTTAAGCACAGAGGGTGCGGATGAGAAAATTGCCAAGAAAAGCAAACATACCTCTTAACATTTTGCACAGGTAGTCCTTGACTTACAACAGTTCATTTAGTGACCGTTCAAAATTACAACAGCATTGAAAAAATGACTTATGACCATTTTTCACACTTAATGACCATTGCAGAATCCCCATAGTTATGTGATCAAGATTCGGATGCTTGATAACTGGTTCATATTTAGAACAGTTGTATTGTCCCAAGGTCATGTGATCCCCTTTTGCAACCTTCTTACAAGCAAAAACAATGGGGAAGCCAGATTCTCTCTTAACAACCATGTTACTAACTTAACAACTGCAGAAGAAAGGACATAAAAAAGCTGGCAAAATTCACTTAATGTTTCATTTAGCAACAGAAATTTTGAGCTCAATTATGGTCATAAGTCAAGGACTACCTGTACGTCTGGGGAATTATCCAAGTCAACCCTTCAGTTTTTAATGTAAGAAAAAAAAAACTTCCCATAGGCCAAAAGCAGAGAGCTGTCTCGTCTAATCGCTTTTCTCTTAAAAAGTGATGGTTTCAAAACATTTTAAATAAAAGATCCACTTCTTCATTCCTGTTCCCATTCAGTACTGTTATTGAACAGCCTCATTGCATTAGCTCTAAGGCAGGATCCACATAAGATAAATAAAACACAGCTGCTGTGTTCATATGTCATGATGGGCCCCAAGAAATAAAATGTATCATGGCTTTATATAAAGCCTTTTTTAAAAAAAAACAAACAAAAAAAACAAATTTTATTGGTTTTTTAATTTCTTAAAGCAACATATTCAGGACACACCGTGGTGCTGGGGTAATCAAACATCCTAAAACAAAACATATACAGTATACATAGTACAATCAATACATCAAGTATTCCCTCTCTTTTTCCCTCAGATAGCATAGTATATTTAAAGGCTTTATATCAGCGGTTCTCAACCTATGGGTTGCGACCCCATTTGGAGTCGATCGACCATTTCACGGGGGTCGCCAAGCAAGGCTGTCCGCCATTTTTTTCCCCTTTTCCGGCGGGTGCCTTACCTCCCTTGGGCTGGGCCAGCTGGTGGTCGGCCTGCTCCGTCTCTGCCACTTGCCAGCTACGCCTCGGCCGGCGCAGGGGGCGGAACCACGCATGCGCGGCGTCCCGGGCAGGGAAAGTCCTCGACTTACGACCGGTTGGGTAGTCCTTGACTTACGACCGGTTTAGTCCTCAACTTACGACCGGTTTAGTCCTCGACTTATGACCGGTTGGGGGTTGCGGCATTTAAAAGGTTGAGAACCACTGCTTTATATGAAGCCCTGATTTGCACAATATGCTAAGGCAATGCCTTGGTTCCCACAACATGCTGGACTTATCCAGCCCCATTTTAGCCTAGTCTGGCAGATAGCCCCTATGAGGTTCCAGCTCTCCCCCTTAATATACATGGTTTTGAAACCTGGGAGGCAGATTTCTTGCAGCTGAAGGCCTCGTTCTTGGGGGAAGAGGTAGGAGAAGCTGTGCTCCCTGAAGAGGCTGAGCCTTTTCCACTGTCTGTGAACCAGGAAAAAGGCATGAAGGGCGATCCCGAGGAACGGCTGGAACCCTCCATCAACTCCCTGTACAAGTCAGACAGGTAACAAGGAAAAGGGCCTCAGTAAGTTTTCTATTCCTTTTTTTCCCCCCTCTGTGAGGTGAATTTTACATGCATCATTCCTTCAGTGAAGTTGTGAGCTGGCATGTGCAAAATGTACCATTCCAGAGACTGAATGTTCTGGGGAATGCCAGAAGGTTCCATGTTTCTTCCAGACCATATTGATTCAATTGTTCTGGAGCCTGTTACTGATGACTGATCTTTCTAAAAAAAAAAATGGGACTGCATCACAATCTTTTTTTTTTTCTTCTCCTCAGAAGATTTTCTTCTGAAAAACAACGAGCACACCTCCAGAATTTCTATGGTTTGGAAGAAAATCTGGAATGTTCTGTTCCTAGAATGGTAAATTTTATACATCCCTTATTGTGTGCCAGCTAAGCCATGTTGAGAAATGAACCGAGCTGGTTTCAAAAGTGGCAAAACGATGCCTTTGCCAAGATTTTGAGATTAGTAGGATGAAGCCCATCACCCTCATATTAACAAATCCGGTACTAATTTTTAGTCATTGGAGAAGACTGTATAACTGTCATACTCCAAATAAAGTACAGGCCTATTCACAGTCATCGATTGTTCTATAGTCTTTTATGTACAAATTCCAGGGGGAAAATTCTAGATGGGAAAACTGCTCTCCTAAGTGGTTGAACAAAGAAACACAGCTGTACTCTTAAAGCAGGGCTTTTCAACCAGTGGTATGGGTACCACCTGGGGTACATTAGCACCTGGCAGGTAGTACACGACCATCTTAGAAAAGTAGCGGGGGAGAGGAATGAGCTGAACTGGTGGCAGCACCACACAAGCCTGAGCGAGAGATGGCTGGAGCTGCAAGGCTGTCAGGGCTCAGCGGAAGCGCCAGGATCAGTGCCGCTTTCCAGCTGATCGGCACTTCTTCGAGGCTGTCAGGGCTCAGTGGAAGCGCCAGGATCAGCGCCAGTCTCCAGCTGGAGCTCGGTGCTGATCCTGGTGCTTCTGTTGAGCCCTGAAGAAGCACCAATCAGCTGGAAAGCAGCACTGATCCTGACGCTTCTGCTGAGCCCAGAAGAAGCGCCGATCAGCTGGAGCTCAGCGCTGATCCTGGCGCTTCTGCTGAGCCCAGAAGAAGCGCCAATCAGCTGGAATGTTGCAGCATCTCCAGGGTCTTGTGATTTACATTCAGATGCTTGGCAACTGATTCATATTTATGATGGTCACAGTGTCCCAAGGTCATGTGAAGTGACCAAAACCGGCTGCAACCACCCAGCAGACGGGGGGAATAAAAACCAAAAAAACCCCCCACCCCACCCCCGCTGCCAATCCTCAACAGAAATGCTCACAACAATGAAAACCTTGGACAGGAGGAAGAGTGCCGCTGGGTGGGCAGGCAGGTGTCTTGCTCAGCTGTGGCTTGAGGGGCACTTTTTTCAGTACCATTGTAACTTCGAACAGTTACTAAGCGAACTGTTGTAAGTCGAGGACTACCTGTACTTCATCACTTTTTTTCTTTTTTTTTTTTTTGGTCATCAAGTTTTTGACACCTTTCTGGGCGACTGGTGGTACTTGGATATTGCCATATCCTAAAAGTGGTACAATGGGCGAAAAGGTTGAAAAACCCTGTCTTAAAGAATACCTTTTTAGGAGCCATCTGTATTGTTCCCTGATAGGGATTTGGGTCTTCCAGATTATTTTCAGGGCTCTACCAGAATTTAACTGAGAAGAGCTTTGGGAAATCCTAACCATTTACCTATTGCCAACAGAGAGGCGGTTGCCTCCCTTCTCTTTTCTCCTTTTCCCAGAAGATGCTCTCCTGAGGGTGACCCTGCAAGAGAGAAGCAACACAATTACAAGCACACAGAAGTATTTGTGTAAACCCGATATCTCACAGTGGTAGGAGCAGAGGCGTAGCGTGGGGGGTGCAGGGGGGGCCGGCCGCACCGGGCGCAACATCTGGGGGGGCGCGCTCGCACTCGCAGCTCTCTGCCCCTGCCTGGCTCACTCACTCTCTCTGCAGTGCTGGCTGTGCGAATCCGATCCGAGCCGCCGGGTCGCCGCCCACTGTGGAGGGGGGGGCGCAAATTACTTGCCTTGCCCC